TAGAATGGCACGCTTAAGTCTACTTGAGATGGTGAAAGATTGATCGTATGACTCATCCGATCTTTCATGACGATTTTGTTGGGAGGCGTATGAGCTTTCCTGATATGTGCTCGGGAAGCTTTCAGTCTCACTGGTACGAGAGCTCGAAGAGCCGTGATTTTCTCTCGACTGATAAGGAAAGCTGCTCTCTTGAGAGGTTTCTCGACTATGGGAGTTGGACGATTGTGGAATGATAGACTTTCGACGGCGAGCACCACCTGAGGAAACTTGACTGACACTGCTTTCAGAAGCCCAAGAGCTTTGAGAGCCTGTGCTACTTGAGGCATGCGATGAGCTGGACCATGGCCAACGAACTTTGAAAGAATCGGTGAAGCTCGAGCTGAAGCTGGGGAGCTTTGCAAAAGGCATTGAACAAGAAGAAAAAAACAGAAAGAGAAAACTTGGACCAACCGGGAAGAAAACGATATAATAATGACTGACGAGTCCGAAGAGGTAATAGCAAAGTAAGATGAATTCAAAATCCCGGGTTGGTTTTGAGCGTCGCTGCTAGCGTGTATGAATAGTTCCCCACAGCAACCTCAACGGCATGAACCTCAAAGAAAGTGCTGGAACGCGAAAATACAAATGGCGTCAAGGTAGAAGAGTCGATGGTGTCTTGTGACAGAGAGCGTGCAGGGCAGATATGCCAGAGAAAAAAAGATGTGACGAAGAGAAAGTGGAGGGCAAGCGTATAAGTGTGGAGGTATTGTTCGCATCATTTGTGGGCATACTCGTTAAGGACACCTGCGACGAACGCGACAGACAGTCTCAGTGACAATGGTACCTCCTTGCAAGCGACTTGGTGATTGTAAGTCGATGAGACGCAGCAACTGAGGATGCACTTGATGATAAGATGCGTCGCTTGACACTGAATTCTGGACGGGCGTCGAAGCAGGAGAATCACTTCTTCATACGGAGGCCGAGGACCTCGCCCAATGTCTCAGCAGGGAAGCAGAGTTGCCCATAGGATTTCGCCGAGTAACATGGCAACACCGACTCGGTTGCGAGACGAAAAGCTGCCGTGCTTCCGGCTAACCGTCTTGGAGAAAACGGCATATGTTGAGCGCTATAAGGGGTTAGTACCCTCACCTCCGAAACTTAGAAAAATTAGCTGTTTGTACCTTTTTGAGGTCGAGTGTATTCTTTTCTGGTTTCATCACAAAAATCCATGCATTTTTTACTTGGAGTTTTCCTGGGCCGTTTTGCAACCTGAATCTGGTTGCACCACCCAGCAAGATCTTGATCCAGCTCAGTTCACAAAGATATCCACAAAAGAAGAACCAATACAGCCATAACGAGAAAGCTTGCGCTTTCGCCAGCCAGAAATTCCGCCAAAAAAATAAAAATAAAAAAACCCCTCGGATGCCGCAGGAATGTTTGGAAGAATACATATCCTGTAATCTTCTGAACATTCCTGCGGCTTCCCTCTCTCAACCGACCCATGCTCCGACCTCGCCCACGAAACCCTGCCGCCCCATCCGCCCATCCCACCCAGGCCCATTTCCATCTTTTTCCACCCACCCAGGCCCCATTTGAAACCGAATCATCCTTTTCCTGCTCCAAATCCCCATCCTCATTCACCTCAGCCCCCCTGGTAAGTTGTCCCATTAAGGCCTCACCACCCAGGTTGAAGCTGCTAACAAAACTGATCAAACCGAACTGATCCTGGGCTGTTTGTCCGTTCCATGCGATTCATTAGCTCAGTACGGCGACATGGTCTTTGTAAAGTATGACCAACAGGTCAAAGTCATCGTTGTCAACATGGCCCGCCGCGGGATCCACCTGGACATCATCAATCCGACCATTGGGCGGAGTGTCTCGCCCGAGTCGCTTGCCCGCTGGATGGATCTATATACCACGACCCGGGATGTTGTTCGCGATCCCGCCACGTACGAGCAACGTGGCCGACCCTTGGCCGTGACACACGAGGAGGCCGATTTTATCCTGGCGGCTCTCGAGTTGGAACCCACGTTATATATCGATGAGCTCCAATCTCATATTCAGGCGATGACTGGGATGGTTCATCCTCTGGCGACAATCACGGACGAGTTGCGTGTTCGACTTCAACTTACGAAGAAGACCGCGCGCACAGTGCATCCATCGCAATGCCCGGTCCAAAGGGCTCATTTCACCTCTCGAGTGGGGGCATTTCCCCCGAGCTACTTGGTCTTCATGGGTGAGTTGTCTCTAGGATGAGTTTGTGAGAGGTTGCTTGATGTGATGGCTGACTGGTATGACAACAACCATATCAGATGAGTGTGCGGTTTCGCTTGGGACTCACTCTCGCGACCGGGCTTGGGCCATTCGGGGTCGCCGCACGCAAAGGATTCCCAAGCCACTCACATCAGCGCGGGTGAGTGTCTTGCCGGCGGTGTCTTTGACTGGTATGCTTGGCGTGATTGCGCACGAAGGTTCAATGCTCCGCGCGGACGTGGAGTACTTCTTAGAAGAGGTCTTGGTATGTCTATCTTGCTTGTGGTGCCTATTCCCCCCGCCGGCCAAGCTGACTTTGTGTGTAGATGCCCGTGATGGGGAGATTCCCCGGTCCCAACAGCGTGCTTGTCTTAGACAATGCCCAGGTTCACCATGGAGGCCGGGTCCGAGAGATTTGCGAGGTCAACGGGGTGCTCATGATCTACTTGCCGCCATACTCTCCGGACTTCAACCCGATAGAGAAGGTTTTCTCTGTCTTGAAGAGCGGCTTGAAACGCGCTCAGATTTTGACCGGCACCGACGATGACCCCGAGATAATCATGGATTTCTTGGCGACGCTCGTGACCCCTCGCCTAATGGAAGGGCTTTTTTATGGCAGCGGGTATTCTGCTTAGGTCTCAAGAGGGGATGCCGGGGGATTCGAGCAACGGTCGATTCGTTCGGCCCCTGGATCCGCTTGGGCAACTCATATTTCCTGATTTTTGAGTTTGCTCCCTCGTTTCCGTCGCCACTTACCAAGCGCCCCCCCCCCTGGAGAATGAATACGGTCTGGTAGTTCCATTGTGCCAACCACTTATGACCTGCGCAATGTTGTCCCTTGATTTCCTTTTCATTCCCCTTGATTGCCTTTTCACGTCTCCTTGATTTACTTTTCCGGTCTCTTGAATATTAATCCTATCTCATTGGCCTGTGCCCCCCTTGTTATGATATGCTCATGTGAGCGATTGCTCACCGGTCTGCATCAATTTAATTGTTGGGGTGCGCCTGCAACCTGACGATGTCGCTTGAGTTCAGGGGTTGCCCAACTTGACATCGCAACACTGAACCCTGCTGTTCACGCGACACCGTGGCACCTCAGAGGGTTGCCTAAGTCTGGCCCCCGGGGTGATGAGTCCTCCCTTTTTTTGGCTAAGTCTTCCCCAGCAGTGACTGCCGATTCTTTTTGGCTAAGTCCGCCCCAGGCGGTGACTGCTGGTTTTGTTTGGCTAAGTCCTCGACTGCTGTTTTTTTTTTTAAGTCCTCACCAGCAGTGACTGCTGTTTTTTTTCGGCTAAGTCCTCCCCAGCCGGTGACTGCTGATTTTTTTTGGCTAAGTCCTCGACTGCTGTTTTTTTTGCCTAAGTCCTCACCAGCAGTGACTGCTGTTTTTTTTGGCTAAGTCCTCCCCAGCAGTGACTGCTGAACCTTTCTGGCATGAGCTGCACTCATTCTGGCAAGTGATTTTTGGGATGCAATAGCTGGCAGCCAACGTGTTAGATACGATTGGTAGGAAAACTCGCGGGCGGCCAAGAATCAAGCGTACATTCTACGGCAATCTCAAGCATGGAGACGGAAGAAAACAAGCAGTGAGGGCCATCTCACGAATGTAGACGGAAACAATGAAGAATTGAAAGCAGACAATCATTGGGAGAGAATAGGCGGAAGACAAAGACTACCCGGTGGCCGAACAACCTGACAAGGATTACGGGGTTTCACAGACATCGTGTGGCATAGGATTCATACATTACCTTGCCCACGCGGCCGCTCCTAGTACTCGGGGGACGCTTGGATTCCTGAGGCGTCGGCCGCTGGTGCATCCGAACTCTGAGTGTCGGCATCTGGGGTCACCGAGTCATGAGGCATGCTATCAGCCGGGGTCGGGGTCGAGTGGTCGTCGGCCATAGTATGAGTGATGCCTAACGCTTCGGCACCATTCATTATTTGAGCGGCGATCGGATATGGGAATCCCATGCGCTGGAGTTGGACCACATCAGTGTCCCGGTAGAAAAAATCCCAGTGGCGGATGTGATTTAACCCTATCAAGCCGCGGGGAACCATATCGTTGGCCGTAAAGTTACATAGGGTCAGGAATTCTTCCATCCCAAGGGACCGGCCGGCGTCGTTCAATGGGGGAAGATCCCGGTGGCATGGGATCAAAGGCTCCCCGTCCAAACCGCGCGAGAGGGCCGGCGCCGACGAATGGACACTTCCAGATGAGAGGTCAGGAGGTCCGGATGTGACACTCGAGGACCCGTTAGACCCGGCGATCTTCCGCGTTGGCGAGGTCGAAGATATGACCCTTGGGTTGGCGCGCATATTAAAATTGAGCCTGCTGATTGCGTATGCCGGCCCGGGCCCCGCAGGGCTTCGAGGAATCTTCCGCGCTGGGGACCGGTCGACGCCATGTAACCCATCGCCAGGGAGAACCTCGAGGTCCGTGCTGGAACTCCTGATAGGCAAACCGGTTTCGGTCCCATCAGGTAGGTCCATGTTATCGAGGTCCATGAACGCATTCCCCCCCCACGACAATGCCGGTGTGTTCATGTCGTCGGTACATGACCCCAGATCGTCTCCCGCGTTGGGTTGTCTATCGCCCGCCAGCGGGGTCACCGGGACCGATGGGGACACATCAGCTAGATCCCCAAAAGACGCAATGCGAGGAGGTCTCACACGGCCGGTCGAAGTAACTCGGGCGGGGGTGAATTTCGGTTGCCCGGGTGTCCCCTTTCCCAACGATCGGCGGCTGCTGGGGCGGACTTGATTGTGATTGTTTGCCTCCTGTTCCGCCAGTGTGTAAATCCGCATGGGCTCAGAGACAAAAGCCGCAGTATCAGGTGGAATCTCCTCGGTCACCCCCTTGGCGTCATGGACGAGCGCTCGACTCCAATCGAACAGGGCGTTCCGGGTGACGCGGATGGATCGCATGGGATCATCTGGGTCTTTGATCCTCAATGACTCCGCGTTGCCTCCGTAAGTTGCAAGGATCTTCTCGGTGATCGAGACGATGTACCTGGTGCGGGCCGCTGACTCCATATCGCATTTTGGCTGGGAAAAGGAATCCCATCATCAGTCAAAATGCATCTGATGTCGGCAGCATTAAAGACTTACGTTGAGGGCCAACCGAGTTTGGACCTTTTGCAAAGCCAGACGCTCGTCATCGGGAGCATAGCTCATGGCCAGGCTGTCGTTTTCCGATTTTTCCTATGGGTTCAGGTGACCAAATAACTCCGAGTCAAATCAGTTCATCCCAACCGTCCAGAAGGCACACATCCCACTTACGGATTCCTTATCCTTGGCACTCCTGCGGGGGTCGGTCATTAAGATCTTGATGGTGACCTTGGACTTGGGCTTGAGGACCATTGCCGCAACAAACGGAGCAAAATCCTCGTCTGAATAGACGTAGTAGAGCTTCCCGCTCCCATACGTCCCGTGGTTAGCCAAGATGCACTGCCACTTGAGGAGGCCGGCCTCCTCAAGTGCCCTAATGTGTTTGTCAATGTTCTCACGGCCCTCGCCGAGTAGGGTGATGATACACTGTTGAGCCTGCGGCCACGACCAGACCTCAAGCGCAGCCTTCCAGACGGTATCAAAGTGCGGGACGATCCGCTCCCACTCCTTGTTTGGGGTCAATGCAGCGCCCTTGGATCGAGATGGTACGACCTCGGCAATTTGCTTCGTAGTAGTCCGGTTGAAAAGGACATAATCAATTGCAATCGGTCGGATATTCCCGTTGTTGGCGATGGTTGATCCGGAGGTTGATGACAGTCGAGTCGAGTTACCTCCAGCGGCCGCTAGTTGCGATTCAGTCGTTGGGTTTTCAGTGAAGACCCTCGTTGCCCTGGGAGCCGAGTGAGATCGCTGCGATGGTTCCATGCACGACTGCTGGTTATCCAAAGACTCCATCGTTGGGCGGGGCGGACGTAAGTAGTCCTTCTGGCTGCCGCCCTCTACATTTGAGAAGGGCAGCTCGGGGAGCATATCATCTAAGTCCAGGTTGTTGAGGTGCTTCAATGGCGTCATAGCCTGTTGCAAAGGAATAGGGGCACCCGTCAATCATGAACCAACACAAGGAGTAAACTACACATGATATGGACTTACACAAACAGATCAGAAAAATCCTAGCGGATTAGTAACAGCCGTACAAGTGATCGGAAGGGGTCGGAACAGCGGTTGATGATTCGGTTGATGATTCGGTTTCAAATGGGGCCTGGGTGGGTGGAAAAAGATGGAAATGGGCCTGGGTGGGATGGGCGGATGGGGCGGCAGGGTTTCGTGGGCGAGGTCGGAGCATGGGTCGGTTGAGAGAGGGAAGCCGCAGGAATGTTCAGAAGATTACAGGATATGTATTCTTCCAAACATTCCTGCGGCATCCGAGGGTTTTTTTTATTTTTATTTTTTTGGCGGAATTTCTGGCTGGCGAAAGCGCAAGCTTTCTCGTTATGGCTGTATACGGAAGCCCACAGGGGACACCAATCAGCTCACCATTTTGAAAAATGAAAAATGACTTTTTGAAAATACAGAATTCTGTATTCCATTCAAAATACAGATTTCTGTATTTTAACATTCTAAAATTTGAAACGTAAGTGCTGGATCAGATACCCATACATGCATAGTTGCATAATACCTTTTGCCATCTCATTCCGACAAACCAACACTGCATCAGCCCGGTACGGTCCTACTCCCGGGCGGATGCTGATTCACTAAGAATTACCCGGTGAGGAGAGTACTCCCTCCGATGGCTGGTTCAGATCGGTCATTGGTGGGGGTACCCTCTATGACCGGTCATCACCGGTCATCGATGGGAGTACATACTCCCTTTCATGAGCAGTCAGACTTGGCCATCAAAGAGAATGGGCAATCCCTTCAATTATCGGTCTGAGTTGGTCATCAAAGGCGGTGCACATATAATCCCAATGACCGTACAGACCAGTTGTTTTTGGACCGGTCCGTTTTTGGCCGGAATACATGAAAGGTGAGCTAATTAAACACCGGTCCTCTAATGAACAGTGGTTCTGAACCGGTCATTGAAGGGAATGAGTACCCCTCTGGATGACTGGTTCAGAGTTGGTCATTGAGGTGAGTAAGTATTCCTCTCGATGACCAGTTCTGAACGGCCATCGAGGAAGGGAGATACTTCCCTCAATGACCAGTGCTGAACGGTCAGCGAGGGGGGTACTTACTCGCCTCAATGACTCGCTCTGACCTTTCTTCAATGACTGGTCGTCAGCTCCTGTCATGGAGGTTGAACCTTCCGGGCCAATAGGGTATTGGTACGCGGAGACGTGATGCCGGGAGGGCCACCGAGCCGATTGCCACCGGTGCCGATTGTATGTTTAGAATTTTTTCTTAGCTGTTATGCATTATGCGCTTCCCGACTAGGATTTATTCGGCAGTGATGTTTCAAATTTTAGAATGTTAAAATACAGAAATCTGTATTTTAAATGGAATACAGATTTCTGTATTTTAATTTTTCACTTTTCACTTTTCAAAATCGTGAGCTGATTGGAGTCCCCTGTGGGCTTCCGTAGCTGTATCTAAATAAGTATTCTCTGTCTTCATCGTCAGCCTCAGTGTGAGTCAAAAACGGATCTTGTTGGGAGGCACGCCACAAAGCTTCTTTGCCCAAATCCTGCTGTATGCTTTTATCTGTTGGTGGCTCCGGAAGGGCTTTTTAGATGTGGTATTAGATACAATCCAGACAAATTCAATATTGAAGCCAAGATGATGATTCTGTCGGATGAGAATAGAAGCTATTTACCCCATAGGTGACCTCCAACATTCCTCTCGCTGTTATATTCAACTGTTTTATCAATAGCCATGCCAAATGTAGTTGAAGCAAACCACATGCTAACAAACATGAGTTTGGCTAACATTTTAGTATGGTGTGATAGATGAAATAGCAGAGTATGAGAACGGCCCTGGATTGATGTACCAAAGGTAGCACAAACTTGAGATTTGTTCAACAAAGAACGCAAGACTTCTGTTGTCCTTCTTCAGACCAAGACAACCCCTTTCAAATTTCGGGTAATCCTGGCAAGTTAGAGACAAGGTACGTACATACTGCGCGCCAGATATTTCGCTGTGGTCTATATTGGTGACATTTGAGGCGGCCGAAGAAGGAAACAGATCACAAAACCACCCCCCCCCCCACCCCCCCAATACAGAAGGACATGATTGAGTAAGGGCGGCCAATGTCTTCGAACATTGGTGATATCTGCAGTCCATATTGTATTTTCACAAGGGCTACTAGAAGCAGCAGATTATACCTTATCAACCGGACAAGACAATCAGATTTTTTGTTTTGTTCATCCGGGAGGAGGAGGATAACTTCGATAACACAAGGCCAGCAAAAACATAACCCCGTCTTGAATTGACGTCCTCCTGCTCCTATTGGGACAAACGTTGGTCAACCCACAACTCCCCACGACCGGGATGACGTCAGAGGAGCCGAATTCTACCCTCTGCCTGACCTCAGCCGAGATCAATAGTTGCATAAATTGGATTGGCTTGAAACATCTGTCATGCGGTTCAAGACTCAGACTTTCCATGGAAGTCTTATGTCAGCAAGTCAACCAAGTGATCAGAAGCTTTTCACAAAATTTTGCTTGGTCATGAGCGTTGTGAGTCCAACAATCTAGTTGCAGAGATGATGATCTATGATGTGACTGTTTTGAAATGAAACACCTCTCTAATGTTTGATGAAGTCGATTGTTTCGTTTGCATATGGATTTTATATGCCTCTAGATTGTGAAAACCACATCCCCACTCGTTCAAAAACACTAGACGCACGGTGTCACAATAGATTATGCCGTGCGCAACTTGGAACGCGCTTCGATTCTTAAACATTGGATTGAAGCATTAAATAATCAAGGTACAGACATAACGATATATGGAGGAATAAGTAGGCTGGGCGTCAACCAGATCGCAGCAATCAATCCTGGCATTGAATCCAGTGCCTATTACAGATCTTCTACGTAGATTGGCGATACAAATTGACAGAGACATCGGTCCAGTCAGTAAGATAGCGTGGTCACTATTCAAGACTAGCAATAGAACTCGGACAGAGAGTTTGAACGCAAGTGCTAACCTTTTGAGAGGGCATGTTCCAATTTTCAATTGGTCTTTTTGCGATCATTGCGGAGGACTTGTTTGTCTATTTTGGTTGTTCCAGTCAATTCCAACCTTTCCAACAAAGCATCCCCTAGAGCAGTGGCTGTAAACAGATTGAGTCAGATCTCGATTGTGAGCTTGTGTCTAGCAAATTACTGAGAAATAAATCAAGCCTGATAACTAACATGGAGTCAGAAATCCTCCTTGATGAGCTAGGGGCGGTAGCTTATTATGGGCCCGCACGCAGGTAACGGCGCATTCAGCGATGCTGATTGCCGTCCAGCCATAACCCTATCCACTCACACTATTGTCAGTTATTCGGCTAGGAGGCTTTAATCAAGTTTGAGTAACGATTTGACATCAATATTTACCGGGTCAAGATTTCCGCTCATAGTAACTCTAACTTGAACATCATCCTCAACTGAATGGGCCGTGGTAATATGTTTGAAATGGCCGTTCTTCCTGGTTCTAAAAACGAAGGCGTTGCCATTTTTTCAGTCTCTTTATGCGCTTTGAAATCCCATTGATGGATATACACAGTTGAGTCTTACATTTCATCGGGTCCATCCCCAGGTTGGGTTCCATACTTCTTTACCAAAGACCTGGCTTGAGGAACTAGCATCATCAAAGCAAAGACCCTAAAAAACAGGGTAAGGAGAAACCCGGCAACTTGACCTGGAGTGATGAGATATTCATCATAATTGAATTTCGCGCCATATCTTTCGTTTTTAATAGCACTATCTGAGGAGGCTTCCAACAAGCCCCACGATCGACGTACGATGGCCCCATTGTGGGGAGCCTGTTAGGATGGAATGTGTCAAGATCTAATCAAAATATCTGGAAACCAGTTAGCTGTCAAACTCACCATGATGAAAAAACCACCAACCAAGCCAGGTTCTTTAGTGACCCACGAAGGATCTTTCTTTTGATGTCCCTTGACTGAATTGAAATCGAGCACGTTAGTGGAACTGAAGTGTTTGACAACCAATTCAAGAAGAAAAAAAGGAACTGACCAGGACTTAAGAGGTAGCAAGACATTGCTTTGCGTAGTTGTGAGACACCTTCATCATACATATTCAGCATGCTAGCGATAGTCCCGCCACTGACACCTCCTTTTGCCGTAGCACCTGCGGTGACTCGTCCTACTTTGACGTCTTGTCCGGCGACTTTCTTTAGCTCTCTGACAGCAAGCATTGCATTCAAATCGCTAGGAACCGAATCATAGCCACAACTATGAACGACGATTGTCTTTGATTCTCTCGCCTGACTTTCAAGTTTCGAAATTTGACGAGAAGCCCAAAGGGTCTCGCCAGTCAAGTCGAAATAGTGCGTCCCATTGGCCACGCACGCCGCTACAAGCTTGTCTCCGTACATAGCGTAAGGACCGACCTAAATGGAGATGTTCGGAAATGGATCCCGTCACTAATCGATTCAGATAGGATGTCAAGAGTAATATAACAGGGGGACTGACGAGAGTGACGAGTGATTTGGACTGCTTGCACATCTCATTCAACGCCTTTTCATCATTCGAATCAGCCACAAAAACTTTGAGATCCTTGGGCAACCCTAATTCCGATTTGACCTTGTCCAACTTCTCCTGCGAACGACCTCCAATAGCCCAGTTTAATTTCTCTTCCGCCGAGGGGTCCAAGTATCGTCTCTGGAGATGCTGACAGACCAGCTTGCCGGTGAAGCCGGTCGCTCCGTAAACTGTCGAAAAAACGAAGCGGTTTCATTTTCACTTCAGCTCGTGCTCCTAAGTCGTTTTGCTGAAAGTAATGCAAACTCCTTGTATGTACTCACCAATGATGTCGATATTCCTGTCGGTGTGCAACATGACGAATGCAGATATATATCTTCGCTGGCATTATGTACGAAAATTTAGAAACTGGATGGTTTCTCAGTGATTGGGATATTTCCTTTTATCTCTTCATGAAGAGTTGTCTGCTTCTGTTGACCGCTTTGGCAAATGACGTATGCAAGTATTATGGATGTGATGATATCATAGGGGACGAAGCTGCGACTGTCTCTTGCGCGCTTACATATTGCATAGCCCTGATAAGGTTATGCAATATCACATTTTGGTGGTGGAATGTGAATCGTGTCCTATCGTGTCCCCCTAGGGATGCCCCAGGATAGCCCAACTTGCCCCTCGGTACCTGAGACAAGTGATGTGGAAAAGCATGAATCAAGTCAATCCGCTGCAATGATGTCCATAGAAATAAATATGCAACGATTCAGACGAGTCACGCCATGCTACAAGGTTTTGGGCATCGGAAAATGAGGAAATTATAGACTGGAGCTGACTCAAGTCACATGAATTTCTCGAATCAAGGAAAGCCTTGCAGCGTTCTCAGACCGAGATCATCAGCGTCGTGAGCTTGTAGATGACTCTGGCCCAAGGTGGAGGGAGAACCAAATATAAAACAGAATCGCCCAAGTGGAATGTTCCTCAGTGCCCTCTTGGCCGGGTCTCCGAAGGGAAATCCTCTCTGGTGAGGTTCTTCTCTAAAGGTGTTCCAGGCCGTTGGAGAGTCCCATCGGTGATCTGACAAGCAGATTTTTGCTCGGCAAGCAGTAGAGACCCACCGGGAGGAAATTTAGGATTGACCCTGCTTTACCTTGCGACCCGCCACAAGTTTCCACACCATGCGAAGTCAGCCATTTCTGGGAGTTGTTGATGCGAAAGTAAGGGATGGTTTTTTGACTCCCCTTCATCATTCATACAATCGAGCTGAATTTTTCTATTATCTCTGCCTCATACATTTATTTTCAACATTATATGAAGATGCCACATATTGTCCACTGGTTTCCGTATTATAACTTTCTCCCCTCTAGTCAAAGTTCAGCCAGACAAAAATCTAGCTGTTTTGTGAAGATAGATGCCTAGCGACATGATCATGGTCTCTATCATACAATTTTTTTTGGGCCGCTTATGATTTACCTGTTTTCTTTTGGGGCATAAGAAAAATTTCATGAACATTTCTTTACTGTAGAAGCGCTAACACATGAGATTCATATCCATACACACACTATAATTTCAAGCCCACTCCTACTTGTCAGAGATTTTGATGCTGAAACTGATTCTGTTTTTTTTGTGAGTCTGCAGAAAAATCAGAAAGCAAAAGGATTTACATGCTACATTTCTATGAGATTTTTTTCAAACATTTCAAGTTTAAATTTGTTTTTTTCATGAGTGGATAGATGAAACTATCAGAGAAAGGTGGCACCAAAAGATCGACATTTCAAAACTGGAAATAGCTCTTTTTTTTATTGGAAATATCTATGCAAGAGAGATGACATGATTTTATACCTAGATATGAAATCCAGCAAGAAAATCCACAGTACAATTTCCAAAGTGTGAAGGATAGAAAGTGATAATTCATGCATCTTGGGTTTTCCCACAGGACAAAATTCTCTTGATTCAGCTCAGTTGTGCTTTTACTTCCTGAATCCTGCGGTTAGAATAAAACAGGCCTTCATGCGGCACTGCCGAAGGAGAATCATGTCTAGCATGTCGATCCGCTATCCGCGCCACTACCTCCGCTATCTCCAAAACCGCCTGACCCGGTATCTTGTGATCCGGTATTCGCGCCACTACAGTTGCGGACGGCAAAAACCGACCCTGGATTTGCAGGATGTCCGAATAGTTTAGCTGAAAAATTGAATTTTTTTTTGTATTTACATGGTTTTCCAGCCCTTTTGGGGCCAAAGATCAATATAAAACTGGCTCAGAGTGTCGAATAAACACTCCAAGTTGATGCTACAGGCACTTGAAGGACCTCGAAGAGGTATAAGACCATGTCCGGATACATGTATGTCACACAAATAAAAAAAAAGAACCACTGCAGTAGAAGCTTAGTGGTTACAATTTTGAACTCTACACATCTTTAGGAGTTCAAAATTGTAATAAAAATAAGTATCGGGGTACATGCCCCCCCGGGCATAGACCCCGCGTGTCAATCTTTGATTTTGCGGGCGGGGCATGGTCGGTTTTTGCCATCCGCAACTGTATGATGATGATGATGACCGCTGGAGCTGTAGTCGGTTGTATCCGTGATCGCCGCACTAGACCACCACATACTGTCGCTGTTGCTACGCGTTTCACTTGACTTTGTCGTGGCTGATCGGGCTGGTACTTTAAGAAGTGTAATGTACCACAATGTCACGAAGAAGATATACATTTGATTAAATGCGTTTTCTCTATCACGAGTCAGTGGGTCAAGATAAAAATAAATAGCTGAACTGCAGCTTACCAGCGGCTTTTCCAACTGGTTTCTTAGCATTGCGGGCTGCGTACATCGAGAGAACGCCTTGATGAGTGAGGGCCAAGACGGCCAAACAGCTGAGGATCAAGGAAACTTGCATGGTAAACCGATGGCAGTAAACTTTCAATCTAAAAGGAAGATTTTTGTATGGTTGATGTGCTCTGAGTCTGAGTCAAAGTCTGAGAAGTGAGCTTTTTCAGTGTGGTGCTGGAACACAAACTGGATTTTGGGTGGTTCTTTTATAGCCGTTCATGGATAGGTCGAGCTCCATAGGCAAGACCTCCCAAGCATGATACGAGCTCTGATAGGCGCAAGCAAAGGGTGGTTTGAATTCTCTTGAAACACGCTTTGAAACTTCTCCATCCGCTGCTAGCATTGCAATCCCCGCTTATCCATCTCTGCAAGATCATATTCAGACCAAGGGAAAAGTAGTGACAGTGACAACGAAGACGCTTTGCGGGGTCAAGGGATGAAGATGGCAGGGGTTATGTTTTCAAATGATATCAGAGTGAATGGCCGGAGCATTTCTATTTCCTTCACTAGAGTGTAATTTTCAACAGGTACATAGATAATAACCTATGGGGTACGTCTAACCAACTTCTAATAATTCTGCTATCGGCAAAGCCCCATATCTATTTCTGACAAGCACCATGAAAGAGGTACTGCGTTTAATGGATATTTGTTTTTGCGCGCTAGGAATATATTTCGCCTTGCTTCAAAGCTCCTACTGGTGAGAATTTGAGAGCATCCGCATCAGTCGTCAACTTAGTGCGGATTAAGGCACTTAATCCGACTGCGCAACCGCATCAGGTCAGATTAAGACAGGATCAAAAAGATCCAGATCTCCATTTGGAGCTAGTCGGGTCTAAATTTAGCACCCGGTAATCCTCAGACTAAAGTCAAGTTGAATATTCATCATCACCAGGATTAAGGAGGATCAAAGTAGATGATATCCACGCCATCAACTCCATCGACACCATTGACACCATCAACACCATCGACACCATTGACTCCATCGACTCCATCGACTCCATTGACTCCATCGACTCCATCAACTCCATCAACACAATCGACTCAAAAGCGGACTCTCCCAATCGATCAGAGGGGACCTCACAACATCAATCGGGTGAACACTCTGGAATGTGTCGATGCGATCAGCTGGACCCTCTCATGATTGGCCAATCCTGGTCAACATGAATCCTCTGACTCAAACCTGACCGAACTGTACTCAGATCACCTGGCGCGAATCAATCCAGTGTTGTTGTAATTGTTTATATCTTTCCAATTCACCTCTTTTCACAATCTCATAACTCTCACAAATATACATAGAGATACATTTTTCTAGCTTGTTTGAACCAAGAAAAGAAGCCTCGATTTGTCTCCGCTTGTTTCTCTCTCATCTCAAAAATTTATTACTTAATGATAGTAAGAAATGAATTGTGTTTTATTTTTATATGCATAAGGTTGCAGAAAAACATCAATTGGAGCCTTATTGAAGAAAAAAAAATGATCGGAGAAATCTGATTCTTCGGATCAGGTTGTCAGCTTGTATGGCTGGGGATTTCATCTCGATCGATCAAATGAGTTGCTTGCGCATCAAATGAGTTGGTTGCAATGAGATAAGGCGTTCG